TAGTTTAAAAGTTAAAAAAAACAATTGTTGTATCTTTATCATATACGTTTTTATAAGTGTTATATTATACCTATTCAAAATATTAAAATTTAAATAATTTAAATAAAATAGTGAAGTTATCATAAACAGCAAGCATCAGACATATGTAATATTATTGTTTATAACGGCATCATTCTACTGTACTACGCCAGATTTAGCATCTCTTAAATAGCATTGAAAGACCAAAAATATATGTTTCCTCCCTTCACCGCTTGTCTATCACTTGTATTGCTTATAACTTTAACTCTACTAGTTGGAACTATGCTTGCAATATGCCGATTTTTGAAAAATAATTTTATCCATCTTAATATGTAATTATTTATAGGTGTCGCCATTTAAAAACCAAAAGTTGGTATCGAGTTTTTGTATAAGGGGGGGGGGAGGTAAAAACATAAGTATTGTGTAGTAAGTTAGTATTTCATACATCAAAAAGAAATCAACATTTTTTTTTTTTGTAACAGCCTAAGTAGTTTTTAAAGTAGTGTGCGGCACTAAAAGAATCACCATGTACATCAATTATTAATTTTATAGCTGTGGAGTAGTAAGTAATTCGTTTTTATAATTGGGTAATATTAAAAAAAAATATAGGTATTTGATGCATTGAGATAAATTGTCCATAATATCTAAAAACAACACATTTTTGACACGAATCTAGAACAGTGATGAGAAGCCTAAGAAGATTTATACATTGATGGACAGCACATTTTTTACCAACTACAGTTATATTCCTGAAGCTACTTTGTGTGCTTAAATGTACATACGTTTTTTACTGAACATAATGTATATTGTGTTCACACCAACCCTAATAAGAAATAACATTACTTTGATCTATTTAATTTTAATCATATATATATATATATATATACATATGATACATCTTATACCATTGTACCCATTCCAATTTTACTTTTAACCCCCGACACATGATGATCATATTTTAACCAATACATAGGTCATGTTTTTATACTTCTCAAAATACAATGTTAAAACTTTTTGAAATTGTGTTATTACAACGGCTGGTTACAGCAAAAAAAAAAAAAAAAACCCCAGCAAGCTTGTGCGTTAATAAACCATAAAAACTAATAACTTTCAAAACGCTGTGTTTACTTTCTCAACAAAAGTCGCGCTACTTTCGTATAGCAATTTTGTTTCGTTTTCGGACTGAGGTGCCAATGCTAAAATTCACACTCACTTCACATTGTTCTGTGCCTGTCAAAATTATGTTTGCATTTAACAAATACCGCAATACCTTTTTCTTACCCCCAAATTAAAACGAAGAGCCACATATAACGCAAGGAAAGCGTTGAAATTCACCACAGTGTTGTATCTGATTTGCACTGTTCTAGTTGTTTTTTATTGTCAAGGTATACCACAGTAGACAAACGAAGAAATGATTTGGAAAATTATATTGTTGTTGACGTGTTGCAACGTTTTAGTAAACGGTAGTAGTAGAAGTGGCAGTGGCAGTGGTAGAAAATGGTGGCCATTTTCTGGAAGCCGAAGTGGGGTAAATATAATCGAGTAACGTACTGTGATTCTTTCTTTTAGTAGGTACAAAATATATTTTATGTTTTTCACAACTCCACACAATATTTTGCGTTCTTAGGATAAAAATTTTATGTAATTTTATCATACTATACATATTTTCTCATCAATTTTGAAATTTAAAAACATTTCATAAAAGTTTTAATGGTTTTTACGACTGTGCCTAGGAGCGATGATGTCGATTTTGGTAATCTAGGTTAAGTTTGTAAAATTGTAATTATCAGACAACGTCATACGAGTACTAAATAATTTGTTATAAAAAAAAAATAATTAAAAAACTAAAACAAAATATTCTTATTCAAAAATACATACTACGGATTTAAAAAAAAAAAATCTAACCTTCAAAACTAAGTGGGGGTGCAATGCTTTTGTAGGCTCGTTAACAAAATACTATCCATCGTTGTTATAATATAGTTATAATGAAAGTACCGTATATATAAGACAGTAAAACATATAGGTACATAAAAGTTGTCACTTACCATGTACGCAGAGTTGGCCATTATTTAGATAATTTTTTTATTCGCATGACCGTCGAATAATATTTTTTATTCGAATAATTATTATTAAAATAAAAAAAAACTATTTAAATTCTTTATTCCAAATGTTTTGAATATTTTTTTTTTATATGCTAATTATTTTAATGTTATCATAATTTAAAAAAAAACTTTATTGTGACTTTATTTAAATTAGCTAAATAATCATTTACTTTTTTGGTCTTAATGGATTTAAACTCTCGATATAACTTATTCATATTATAGTAGATAATATAATTCTGTTATACATAACATAGTAAATTAGCCAAAGAACTGTAATATTTTTACAGAATGGAAATTGCACCATCCTATATGGTCGACAAATGTGTCTGGCCTTTTGGTCTAAAGTAAACCTATAAATGGCTGTTACTCATAGAAAAAAATGATTTAAATTAAAAATAATACCTTGGAAACTTATAAAATTTAACCGGTAAATTAATTGAAATTATCTAAATACTATATTAAAACATTTTTTTTTTTAAATATTGCCTACAGAAAACTGACCGCATGCAATCGCATAACTATTTATTGTAAATTATAATAGTTAATTATCGGTAAATGTGTTCCCGGCACCGTTTATTGATGACAAGACTAGAATACAATATTATACAATTTAAATACAAATACCTAATAGCTGTACCTGTCCACAGCCGGTCAACTAGTACACCCCGTAATTACCGCGATTTTTGAAAATTGATGGGGCCAATGACTCTAATACTTCTTATCTACAGTGCAATAATAGTTGTTCTAGATTAAAAAATGACTGTAACTAAAAACTCCATAAATAAAAATAAAAAATTCCATACTTACTTGAATTGAATTGTAACAGAAACCGTCGCTTAAGCTCGGTAGTTAAAGGAGTGATTATTACACAATGATGGCATTCCCGTGTATTTTATCACGAAAAAAATTGTATGATTTTGTACTACACATAAGATATAAAAATATTTAATTATAAATTATATTGTCTAAAAAATAACAATTACAAATTATTGTTGGGTCCAGTCTTGAAACTGTTACTAAAAAGATAATCCAATGAGTGATAATTATTGTTTTAGCTTCGATGCAAAGCGAGAAGGTATTGGTTTTACTCTGATGTGGGCTTTTTTTTTCGCTGTATACACTGTAACTTTTTTAATACTAGACCAATTCCTTCGAATAGCAACTCTATAAATCACAAATTTTGTCTAGTTTGTATTTTGGGGGGGGGGGGGGGTAAAAGTTGAAAAAGTTTAAGTCTTCACAGACGAAAGTTGAAAAAACAAAAAAAAAACCGTACGAGTTTTTAAGTTAGAACTTTTACTGGCTATAGTATCGAGAAAAAGAGTTGGATCGAGTTGAAATGTATAAGAAATATTTATTTGGTATGCCCGCGCACGTCAGTTTTGTTAAATTCAAAATATACCCATTTCCCGCCCCCTAGGGGGGGTAAAAGTTTTTTTGTTTTTCGGGGTTTTTAGCCGTAATTTTAAAACTTTTGGGTTGAAAATTTGCCAGTAGTTGGAACTCATATGTACCCATAACATATTAAACGGGAAAAAAATTCGGCACTACAGTTTTTTTTTAATTGCCGGGAAACTGTGTTTTCGCAGATTTCGTATATTTTAACAAAAACACTTAAAACCTTTAAAAAAAAATTGATCAAATCATTAAAACAATTTTATTTATATCTATGCAGAATGATACTATTGAGTTTTGTGCTCAAGTAACACTTTTGACTTTAAGTTTACACAAAGTTCAATTTTTTTTTTTTTTTTACTTAAGTTCTTTCTGGCTGATTAAAATTGAGAACTGATAACAAATTCGTAATCACCGACCCAAAAAACATATAATTTGACCACTTTTGATGTCTTTTACACAAAAATCCAGAAAAATGTTTTAGCTTCGATGCAAAGCGAGAAGGTATTGGTTTTACTCTGATGTGGGCTTTTTTTTTCGCTGTACACACTGTAACTTTTTTAATACTAGACCAATTCCTTCGAATAGCAACTCAATTTTATCACTTTTATTTATAATAATTCTTGTAGACCTGTGACCTCTCCGTTTCCTCATTGCTTTGATTACATTATGCCAATACTCTACTGTACTAGTCCTCTCGGATAAAATCGCTTTCAAATAAACGCTTTGATGCTCATTTGTAAATACAGAACCTTCATTTAAAACTTTCTAACTTTGCTGGTTTATACTGTGCTTGGTTTGGACTGTACTGGCTTGAAAATACTAACTACCGATTTGCATCGAAGCGTTTTTTCGAAAGTGATTTTATCACTTTCAGATTTAAAAATTCCTGTAAACCTGTGACCTCCCCGTCCCCGATATGCCCCGACCCAACTATGCTCCGTCCCCACTATGCCCCGACCTCACTGTACTGGTTTTTTTTTATAGAAGTTGGTACTGTAGTTATTTTATATTTTTTTTAAACTGATACATTGTTTTACCTTTTTTTCCCCCAAAATCTTACTTATGTAATTATTTTCATTTGATAGGATGGATTTTCGGTTACCCATCTATGATAAATCTTATACCATTGTACTCATTCTAATTTTACTTTTAACCCCCGACACATAATAATCGTTTAATCAATACATAGGTCATGTGTTTATACTTCTGAAATACAATGTTAAAACTTAATTTTTCCAGCTACATATTTATATTTCATGGATGGAATCTTATATGTTGTTATTTGTTTAAAGTAGACGCCCTACTTTTCAAGTTAGTTTCGTTTCCGGGCTGTGGTGCGAAGGCTAAAGCATGTTACTCACTTCATGTGTCTGTCAAAATGATGTTTGTATTTAACTAAGTCCATCTGTAAAAATACCGTAGCTTTTTTTCTTACCGGCAAAACAAAACGGTGGAGCCATATTGCAAGGAAAGCGTTGAAATTCAGCACAGTGCTGTACCTGACTCACTTTTCTAGTTGCTCTTTATTGTCAACACATTTCACAGTAGATAAACGAAAAAAATGATTTGGAAAATTATATTTTTCTTGCCGTGTTTCAACGTTGTAGTATGCCCACGTTGGTGGAGAAGTCAGGTAAATATGATCGAGTAATGTGGTGTAAATCTTTTTTTTCAGTAGGTACAAAATATATTTTATGTTTTTCATAACCCCACAAAATGTTTTGCGTTCTTAGGATAAAAAATTTAAGTAATTTTATTTCATACTATACATATTTTCTCATCAATTTTTAAATTTAAAAACATTTTGGCTAACATTTCATAAAAGTTTTAATGGTTTTTACGACTGTGCCTGTGAGCGATGATGTCGATTTTGGTAATCTAGGTCAAGTTTGTAAAATTGTAATTGCACCACTTATTATTTGAAAAATATTAATTATTTTACAGAAATATATAATTTACAATAATATAATATTCTATAGTAGTAATATTTTAAGTCATTTAATTTGTCGACAACATTTTTTTTGAGGATTAACTCGTTGTTATAATATAGTTATAAAGAAAGTACCGTATACATAAGACAGTAAACCATATAGGTAACTAAAAGTTGTCACTTACCGTGTAAAAATCATTTACTTTTTTGGTCTTAATGGATTTAAGCTTTCGATATAACTAATATTCATATTATGGGTTTTTCAAAAGATTAGTTGAGGGGATTTGTATGCGGTCTGTTTTGACGTTTTGGACAAAAAGTCAGACAAAATTTTGACTATTTAGGATGATCCGATTTCAATATGTAATAGTTTTTTGGCAAATTTAATAGGTAATGTTAGAAGCGGTGTCAAGTGTACCCGTTACAATAGTAAAATTATTTTTTACTTTTTAGTACACTTTTCTACTATTTTTTAGTAAAAACAAGTTTTTAAAAAAGTTTTTTTTTAATTTATTTATTTTATACATTAATTTTTAGTTTTATTAAAGGTAGGTACTTAATAACTGTGAATAGATTACTAAATTAATTTCGGAGGATTTGAAAGAATATAAAATTTTAGTGAAATAACCCCCACTATAACCCTAAAACAAACTTTGTAAAAAAAACAACGTTGGTTAGTGAAAACCTTAAAATAAGAAAGTACACAATAACATGAATGGTAACGCATAATATATATTTATAAAACCACATATCAAGTTTTCTTATTTCTATGTATCTAATAATATGTGCATCAATACTTGAAAAATGCTAAACTACTGGTAATTTCAAAGATCATAAATACAAAATTTTAAATAGATAACATAAACGTAAAAATGTTGAAAAATTCATCAAGTTCTATGTCTTTCCATTAATTGCCTTTTTAGTTTTTTCATTTTTATATGTCTCATTTTGAATTAGCTGTAGTAAATTATCATCAACAATAAAACGGTAAACACCCTAAGCTTTCAAGTTTTCTTTGTTAACAGTGTTTGAATGAATTTCACGATTAACAGTGTATAAAAAATGTTTAAAATTAAGACCAGTTATATCTTTCCAAATAATATTTATACCATCAACATTAGCAATTTGTGTATTGTTTAGTAGTGATATCTGCCGGATTTTAGGTCAACGGTATACCTATTTTTAATCCGAGCTATCACTTTCAGTTGTAATAATTCCTGTAAACCTATGACCCCCCCCCCTTTCCCGCTAGATCCTGATCCCACTGTGCCCTGATTTTAGTATACTTCTATTAAAATACATATTAGCACAGACACAACAAAATATTGTTTATATAAATTATCTACCTACTATAAGCTGAGCTTGTGGTAAAGACAGAGAATTAAACAGTTATGAATTATATTATTCCATTATTATAGTTACTAACTTAAATATACAGATAAAAATAGAGAAGAGAAAAAATGTATTTGTGTTATTACATAGATTAAGTTATCAAAAACGAAAAACGCTACACTTTCATTGTAGCTAAAGTTTAAGGAGAGAAGCTTCAGGGCTTGAGATCTAAAAAATAGACTGAATATAATTTTAGAATAAAACTATAAGTTATACTAACATAGTATATTTATGTATAATATTAATATAACATAATATATTATAGTCTATAACTTATTATGCAATTTTTTCAAAAAATTAATTAAAGGAACAACAATAAAAGTAGAAAATTACACTTTAGTTGAAATTATTCTCATAGTTCCTACAATTATAATAATTTTATCGCTTTCAGTTGTAATAATTTATATTGACCTCTGACCCCCCCTTAATATGATCAGCCCTCACATTCACTAACCCCACTGTAATGGCTTCTTTTTTGTTACAGTCGAGCAGTTATGCACGTATGCAACAAGAAGTAATTGTTTTTATTTTATTTTTTAAGTACATAATAAAAAAATTAGTAGGTACTAGATTAACACATTTTAAATTAACACTGAATAACATTTCAAAGATATGCCCACATATATTATTTTAAAATTATTACATACTTATAACTTTCTTCTTATTCAGTTTAACAGTCCACGAAGGACCTGAGCTGCCCCAAGCTAGCCTCTCCACCGTTCCCTGTTGAATGCTAACTCAACAGACGCATTCACATCCACCGTCTGAATGTCCTTCTCCACAGCATAAACATATCTTCTTCTCTCCTGGAAAGCACCATAAATTTTGTTTTTTCTTCGTTAATACAATTTACAAAGTCCCATGCTTAAAGATTTGTTTGGAATTGTATCTGTTATTTTCCATTTCTGCAATCATTCTCTTTTCTTTCCTGAGCGTTTTGTGATTATTATTTTGCTCGCTGTGTGTCGTTCTAAATTTATATTAGTCGGGTTTTAAATGATATTTCTCTTAGTTTATTTCTTCTGTCTACGGTTTCTTAACATTTCATTAAAGCAGTTTTTCTTTTTATTATTTTTCCTCATTCCAAGACAATTCTTTGCACTATTTATCACTGCCGTTTTTATCTTTTTCCATACATGTTCTACATTCTCATCATTATCTTCATTATCTAGTCTAACCTCCTCCTTTCATACTTTCGCGTTGAATTCTCCCAGAACTTTTTTAATACAATGATTAGATGTTATATCACATATCCTGTCTAGTTCTTCATAGAAGTTTTCTTTGATATCATCTCCCTTGTCTTCGGTTGGCGTGTATCTGTTTATAATTATTAGATTAAATATGTGTCCCGTTATACGTATGTAGCACATACCCTTATTTATTGCCTGAAAACTTTTAACATAATAAGGTGAGCCCCTGAGAGGCTTAACTTATAACATTACTAAATGTTTAATTGAAAATCCACAGGCTGATATTTTTTCATAGGCCACTCAATATCTCATAGGGTTTAATAAGAAATTAAAATGTTTTTTCATGTAGTTTTTATACAATGTGATCGAAATTTTCCACAATTTTTTTGTTTTTACCCCCTTTCTAACTTAGTTTTTTTGATAGCGACTTTTGAAACTTATATGGTAACACAAATATTTCATTAACTTTTTAAAATTAGAATAATGTACTAAAAATGTATAAGTTATATGGGTTTAAAAGTTATTATGGAAGGGGAGGTGCGGTTGGGAAATGAGTGCAGATAAAAATAATACTGCACACCATTTTTCCTCCTGCCCTAAACTTGAAACTGGTTATCGACCAGTCAAAATGTTTAGTACATTATTCTAAATTTTATAAGTTAGTGAAACAGGCATATACGTTACCATTCTAAAATCAAAAGTTGTTGCCAAGAAAACTAAGTTGGAAATGGGGAAAAAACAAAAAAGTTAAGAAAAATTGTGATAACATCGTATAACAACAATATGAAAAAATGACATTTTAATTTCTTATTAAACCCAATGAGATATTTAGTGGTCCATTATAAGAAAAATCACCCTGTATAAGTGTATTATTGTTATAATAAATAAATTCTCTTATGAATAGTACCCGGAACCATACCGCAGTTTTGTAAGTTGGTTAAATGATCGAGCCGTAACCAATGTAGAAATGTCAACTTGGGATAGTGATCCTAGCCAAACATCAAAAGTAATTTTTGTATAAAATACTAAATTATTCAAAAACATGTTTAACCATTTTTGTTTTTTTAGGATACCGTAAGGGAACAATTGAGGTTAAGTAGGTGTCCAGCTGCTGATGTGGGAAGACTTATTACGAACAGTGATAAAATTACATGGCCTACTCAAATAAAATCAAGTCAGGCACCTTATTATAACGCACATTATATGACTTCAATGACATTTAGACAGATTCCAGAAACATCAGCAGTAGTCGCGGCGTGTTCTGATAACCCAACCCGAGGGCTGCCTTCGCCGGGAATTTTAATTTTTTTTTTTTAAATACATAATATTTGTTTGTTGCTAACGGAATTAAATAAAATGAGTGTGTTATATTGATCTAGACTTTGATTTAATAAAGCCATAATTTTCCTTCCTCTATATTTTTTATACTCCTCAGTATTTAGAATGTTCTAAATTACTTGTTTTTTTAAATGTGGCGTTTTGTTTGCTCTTATCGTTCAGATCTCAAAAAGTATACGTCACAAATAATATTTACCTTTACAAATTGGTAAAAGTGGTTATTTCTTATTGGCATGTGATACAAATCTATAGAACCAATTAGTGTCAACAGCACCCTGGTGGTATAACGTATAAGGAATAAAACGGGATATTAAACAACAAAAAACAATAAGCACTAAAAAACAAAAACGTAAATTACAATCTTAAATTAACAAACTCAAGGCGAAAAAATGTAGACTGTCTCATTTTTGTCGTAAGTTGACAACATTTCCCCACTGTTACTTGTTGATATAAAAACAATATTTTATCACAAGATTTATTTAACCTCGCGTACATAAATCCTCGAACATAAAAGGTCTTAGGATATTTTTTCTTATGATTTAATAAAATTGTACTTAACATGGAAGCGGTGAATTTAAAAACTAAACCCCTAAGTCTACCTCAATGGAGATACAGTTTTATATTGCCTGCTATGGCAACCAAACTCTGGAGATTTTGGCAAAATAGAACCAAGTAATAACTAAGATATTCATACGTTGAGTTTCACTTTTTTTAATAGCGAGTTGCTCAAAAAGACTCTATAATATCATACAAATATATCATTTGGGGACAATGATCGTAAGGGCCCTGTAACAGTTGTCGATTATTGCGCTCATAGTATTAAAATGGTATTTGTTTCCGTGCAATTTAAAAAAGTACAGGAGAAAACATATAAGATAAAAATTTTAAGAAATTAAATGATGCGGAGCAGACAATCAGTGAGTGAACTTTGAAGAAGAACGAGAGAGATGACTCTATCAAATCTTTAAAGTTAAAAGTAGTAGGTAAACCTTAAATAAAAAGTTCAACAAATATGTTTAAAAATCATAAATTACTATTGAGAAGTAAAAAAAATTATCTATTTTGCAATCGTTGGAGAACCAAAATACATTACATTTACAATTTCAAGGAGAAAATGTAAGTTATCTCAAATTGTTAATTTTGAATATTTATTTAATTTTCTTTAGAAGAGGACAAATAGCCAAAGGGGTGATGCGGCCGTATGCCTTGGTTACTCACTGCCACTTGTTTTACACTCCGCCAGGGCTTCTGTTTGCCGGATGGGAAATCATTTAGTGAAAAAGATGTTTAACATCCTCTTCTTCGGCGTTGAATCAACGATCAAGATGTTTCTGTGCAAATTAGTTTTTTATAAAAAGGCTAAAAACAACTTTTTGTTTTCAATTTAGGTAGTATAAAGAAAGCAATTAGAAACGAAAGAGCGTACAGCTAATAGGGTTCCGATTAATTCTTAAGTAATAACGACTTTGTTTATTATTTATACCGTAATTAAAATCAATTAATTTTATGACTTAAGAATCTTCAAGTAATTTCCGTTATGATGCATCAACTTGATATAAAAGTTTCAAAAAAGCTTGATTCTCTTGAGGAACGAACAATACCAAATAGAAAAAATTATGAATGAACTAAACAACTAGTTAAAGTGAAAATAAATAAATACATTTTAACCAAATTACCTTTAATACTGATGTAATTTTTTTTTTTTTTTGTAGTGTACAGAATGGTGGTGTCCAATATTCATAGTAGTTTTAATACACTGGTAAAAATAGACAATGTGCAAATTATTAAAGAGGCTGTTTCCATTAACAATTTGTTATATTAAATATTATTGATTTCGATAAAAATACAAAACTATGTAATGTATATTTAACAATACTCTTTGTATAAATGTTATTTGTTACTCAGTTTTTTTTATCACCAAATTTTCTACTCATTTTCAATGATTTTAAACCTAACCTCTGTAACGTGTCTGTTTGGCTAGTTGGCTAGGCTAGGTCAAAACGACGGTCAATAGGGCTAAATTAGTGGACCCGAAGACGGCCAAGCCGTATCTACACTTAAATATCCCTAAAGTCCCATATTACACCTCTACCTGGATCCTAAAGCGTTCTCTGTAGTTAGTCCAGGCAATGGCGGAGTTGAATGGACACACGAGTATGGGCAAAGTTAAAGAAATTTTAAATAGTAAGGTAACATGAAATAAAAAGCAATGGCTTGAGAATGATTAGATCGCGGTCCGAAGATGGTAGTGTGTCAACTAACTGGGCATCAGTGCCCTTGGCATTGTCCCGTGTGTCTGTTGTCTCCGCTACTCATCATGGGACAGTTAACAATTCTTAACTTCACCAGGAGAAAAGGATTTAGGCGGGAAATTCATAGGTAAGATGAGGTTGAGCAACTTGGCTGAAATGAGATCCAAATAAAACGGCTGTACCTATATTATAATATTGTACACAATATCCATTTCAGGAAATAACAGTCCGAAATGATTATAATGATAGGTCGTATTGTCCAAATTGTTTTTTTTAACTAATATAGTAACAAAAGTTATTGATACTTAGGTTTGATGTTGGAATGTAATATGATATAGAAGTGTCATGTACCATATAATATATTATGTCAATATGCGCCTAGGGATTATCGTTTGTAAATTATTATACATAGTTTCAACGAAATTCTTTCCTCGGATTTTATACAAATTGTGTGTATATCGCTTTATCAGTCTCTACTACAATATGGTATTAACTATATGGGATGGAGCTACTAAAGAAAATGATCAGGAATTGGATATTACTTGCTTTGAATTTGTTATATAATATAAAAAAAATACTATATCTTTGATATTAAAAAAAATCACTAATTTAGATACTCTTTTTCTAAAAAAATGTATATACATACATATATGTACATCTTATACCGTTGTATCTTATACCATTGTACTCTTTCAAATTTTACTCATAACCCTCACACACAATAGTCATTTAACCAATACATAGGTTCTCGCCAAAAGTAATGTATGACGACGAGGACTGGTCATTATTTCGATGGCATCTCATATGTTATTATTCGTGTAAAGTAGACGCGCTACTTCGTAAGACATTATAGTTTCGTTTTTGGGCTGAGGTGCCAAGGCTCACGCATGGTACACGCTAAAGCTCACTAACATCATGTTATTCTGTGCCTGTCAAAATGATGTTTGTATTTAACTAAGGCCATCTGTAAAAATGCGTAGCTCTTTCGTTACCCATAAAACCGATTGAAGAGTCATACTGCAAGGGAAGCATTGAAATTCAGCACAGTGTTGTATCTGACTTTCACTTTTCTAGTTGTTCGTTATTGTCAAGATATTTCACAGTGAATAAACAAAAAAAAAAAATGATGTGGACAATTTTATTTTTGCTGCCGCATTTCAACGTTTTAGTAAACGCTGGTTGCGTTCAAGGAACTGGGCCAAGTTCTCCAAGACAGGTAAATATAATCGAGTAATGTATTTTAATTAGTCGGTACAAAACACATTTTATGTTTTTCAAAACTCCACAAAATGTTTTGAGTGCTTAGGATAAAAAATTTATATTATTTTACCTACTGTATATATTTTTTTTAATTTAAAGGCTGAAGAAATGACCTTTTTTAACTTATACCCAGTGGCTGCTCGTACCACGGAGCACTTGAGCAATGCACCACCTATTATTTGAAAAATATTAATTATTTTACAGAATCACATTATATAACAATATAATATTCTATAGTTGTTCTATTCTAAAAAATAGTAAAAAAGTAAAAAATAAATTTACTACAAGAACAACTTTTTTACAATTTTAAGTAATATTTTATTTTAACATCGTTAATTTTTGACTAAAAAGAAAAATGTGAGCCCTGTTCAATAAATTTATCAGATAAATTTCATGCAATGCTTTATGTTAAATTTTTTTGTAATTTAAATTTGGTTCAATATTATTGTGGGACTTATACGTTTCATAATACTTAACTCAACGAATTTGGACTTTGTTGGATAGGGCCCACGCTTTTCTTTTTATTCAAAAATTAAAGATGTTTAACATTAGGTATTAAACATTTTAGTTAATTTTCAGTTGTTTTCAAAGTAAATGACATAAAAAAAAAAAAAATAGGCTACAATTAATAATTGATAAACTGTTCTTGTAGTAAAATTATTTTTTACTTTTTAGTTCATATTTTTACTATTTTTTTTAGAAAAACATGTTTTTTCAAAAAGTTTTTTTATTTATTTATTTTTTACTTTTTAATCCTATTAAAGGTACTTAATTATTGCTGAATAGATTACTAAATTTATTTTGGAGGATTTGAAAAAAAATTAAATTTTAGTGGAATGACCCCCATACATATAGGGGGGTCATTTGTTTTAGGGCCATAACCCTAAACAAATTTAGTAAAAAAAAAACTTTGGTCCGTGAAAACTGTAAAAATAAGAAAGAAATTTTCTTATTTCTATGTAATAATATGAGCATCAATGACTGAAAATTTCTAAAATTAACACTTGGTCATAAAAACAACATTTTCAATTTATAACATAATAGTAAAAAAATTTACATTTTTATATGTCTCATTAAGAATTAACTGTAGTAAATTATCATCAACAATAAAAACGGTAAACACTCTAAGCTTTCAAGTTTTCTTTGTTAACAGTGTTTGAATGAATTTCACGATTAACAGTGTATAAAAAATGTTTAAAATTAAGACCAGTTTTATCTTTCCAAATAATATTTATACTGTTAACATTAGCAATTTGTGTATTGTTTAGTGATATCTGCCGGTTTTTAGGTCAACGGTATACCTATTATTAATCTGAGCTATCACTTTCAGTTGTAATAATTTCTGTAAACCTGTGATCTCCCTGTCCACACTAGACCCTGACCCCACTGTTCGCCAATTTTTTTTATACTTCTTT